AGTTGTTTTTTATCTGGGCCAAAGTGGCGTGTTAGTGAGGGAAGCCACACTTCAGCCACCAGGATCCCCTTCCCCTGTCGTTCGGGTCGCACCCCACGGTCAACAGGGTGCCTCACGTTGCAGGGATGCGTGGTCGAATTTTTGCCAGACCGGACCTTCTGTCGACAGATCGGAAAGAAGGATAGATGGTCGAACGAAGAAGGGGGAAAGACGGCAGTAGACAGACGATACCTAAGTAAATGTCGCCCATGCGCATCTGAGTGTAGATGTTCATGGGCAACATTTGAGCAATGAATGGGTCGCACCTCTTGCTGGCGGAGCACTGGTTTTATTTTCTTAGCTCCAAACACACGGGTGTGAGGGGGGGGGGCGTATAATTGAAGAAGCCAATCACTTAAATTTGAATGTAACGACACTGCTGCTCCAAATCAACCTTTGCTATTATGATATGCTTTCCCTTGCACCACATTAGTTGTTTCTTTTTCAGGTACTGTGTCATCCACCTTATGCAGATGGTCTTCAAAAATGGTAACCAGATCTGGTCATATTCATTTGCCTACAGATAGTAGATAAGATACAATGTAATGACCGGCATGGACCTTTAGAGCACCTCCCCTTGAATAAAAAGATTCAACGTCTAAAATAACAGAAAATTGTGGCTGCTTAAGAATTTTGAGGCTGCAACTGAATAGCACTAACGGAGAATAGTTGTTGTCCAAACGTCCTTTCTTTATTGTGTCCTGACATTGGGTCTCGGTTCGCACGCGAATGACTTTATAGACCCCTATGACTTTGACTGTAATGTTTTCTTTTCAGACCACAACAAATTTAAAGAGTGCTAAATTGGTATTCTTGAACAGTAAACCGAGGTTTGTGTTTCAGCCCGTTGCTGTCTGGACTGCAACTAGTCTATCTATGTTATTGCAAAAGAATTTGCACTTATGTAAGATCAGTGACATGGAATGTGCACCTAGTTTTCGCAAGGTCATATGAGCGCCAATGGGTGGATGTCAACAGAGAAGTCCAAACGGGTAATCAGGCTTACTCTGCTCACCTCAACAGCACAAAGTCTGTTTCGACTTGACTATCAAAGCATCCCGGAAATAGCAGTTGACAAGAGAGTGACAAATTATAAAAGAAGTAGAGGTAAATAACGATAGTTAGGGTGAGGAAAGAAAAAGCAGTCGTTCTCGCTATGTTGTTCCGGCACAGTATGCATGGACATGACACTGATAAATTAGCCCATTTACAATTCTACTGAGCACAAGAACATGTTAATATTCCCCCTTAGAGAATGGCCTAAAGACACTTCAGTCAGTAGCACTGCCTTGGAAGGGGGGGGGGGATTTGCACTTGGTGCCCTTCAGTCACATCTATATTGTCCTCTTTATGTTGTACAACTGCCGGAATACCATTCACACCTTGTGATGCCAATTGCACAAGGGGCAATTCTTTAGAGGGGAATTGCACAGTAAACAAACATCCACCGAGAAGCACCGACTTAGGGTGTGAGAGAAAAACGCGTTCTTGAGGTAGCAGGATTCTAAAAAATCACAATATCATGCTTTATTTTTTTGCTTTCTAAGAGTGCTTGAATCTTTACTAAACAGAATGAAATAAAAATAAAGGTGACAGAAGACCTAGCTTTTTTAAAACAAATGTTTTTGTGCATCAATGCCCATTGTTGAAGTCCTTGACAACCATTTGTTTACCTTGGGAACAACAACAATTTGATATCAAGGACCAGAAAGTTGGTGTGGCTCTTAAAGAGACCAGGCTACGTACACGCTTAAAATGGTTTGCCTGAGGCCGGTAGTGCAACTTATTCAACCTGTTTGAAGATTTGGCTGGTGTGGAGTTGTTGAAGAGGTGCTTGCACGGAAAGACCCAAAATGTAAATGAAAATTCGAAAAACTGATATGGGACAGATGCAGTAAAGAGAATTTTGAGGATAGATATATTGTTGAGGAGGCTGCATGGAGTGCTCTAAGCTACTTGAATGATGGTTTTAGCTCAGTGAAAAAGAACAAAAAAATTTTGAGAGTCATAGCTGGGACATTGCCAGAAAGATGTGTCGTGATGGGGACCTGTAGCGTGAGATGAATGCGACCGGCAAGTCTGCAGGGAGCACCAAAAAGAGGAAGAAGACGTTGAGGGCCATCAGAAAAGGCTTTCAGGACAGTGCAAAGGAGAAGGAGGGAGATGTATACAGTCCTGGTGGCAGTAAGGCAGTACTTATAATTTGTTTCTAACACGAATTTCGTTTTTTTAAAATTTTCTCAGTTTCACATTTTCAGCCCGCATGCCATTTTTCAAAACTACTTAAGATATCAAACTGAAATTTTGCGAACTGATTTGGAGGATAATGCTGCATGTCCTAAAACTTCAACTAAAAAGACAACATTTTAATTAATTTTTTTCTGAAGGTCATGCATATTTGATTAGCATGTTTTTCTTCAAATTTGTAAAGCCATACTTCAACATGGAGTAAACAAGAAAGCTTATGTTTCAATATCTAGTTTCTTTAATTCAGGACCTGAATTGGGCATTACAAAAGCTTTCCTGAAAGTTATATAAATAAAAACTATAAGTAGTTAATAAACAAGAGTGCATATTATATTTTGCTTGCGGTGGCCATTTTGAATGCCTAATTTGCATTTTGTTTTGGTTATTAAAAAAATTTCGGTATTGATTTATAGTACATACGTATAGGTGAAATCATACATGGATGTATGTCCCAGATAGCCTTCTTTAGGATTCAACTGCCTTAATATATTGGCTGTCCATACCTTTTACATGACAGATGGACATAAAGCACAGATACTCATTACGAGTACTTTATTTTCGGGTAAATCCGTATTAACGTACGTAAAGATTCTCGTGTCAAAGCAAGGGTGAAAAACTGATTTGGTCATAACAAAAACTTTGTTTCTTTACAATACAACGCATTTTAAAAACTATTTCCTCCACGGTTTCGAACGCCGATTTTAAAGATGTTATTACACCCAATTTCATGGGTCAAACCATTCAACTTTCATCTTTGTTGCAATTTTTAGGGTCTATCCTTATTGTTCTTCCACTAACGGGGGTGTGAAGATATATTACCAAACAGATATTGAACAAAAGAGGTGGATTAGTCCGCGTTCGTGTGTTTGTGTCGTGCATTGTTCAGCATACTCCCATCCATAAAAAGGTACAGTAACGAGTAAGGCCGACTTGTACTGCAATTGTAGCGCGTGTTCGACATCGCAACGACAAAAAAGACTTGGAATGGTTCTCTGGGTTAGGTTTTTCCATTCTGCTATCAATACATCATGAAATTGATCCACATTGATGATCTGTTGGTTGGTGTACCTTCTCCTTCCATCATTATGACTTACGTAAAATCTAGACTCGTCAGGACTGAGTCCCAGTCTCAGTATTAGCTTCCTTTTTAAATATTGGTTGCACCAACCTAAACGAGCTTGTCTTCGTAGGGTTTGCGGTCTTAAATATGCTTCTGTCAATTGGTGCCGAATTGTGACTGCACATACTGTAACGGTGGCAGGCGTAATCGATTTTTTGGGTGGCAATAAACACGAATATACTGGTTTTGTTGTGCGGTCGTAACCCTTGGTTGCCCCGCCCTTGGTTTTTCGGCGACACGTCCAGCAGTCTGGAAAGTTCTTGCAGCCCTCCAGCTGTCCATTGATAAGCATTGATCCATGCTGCAACGCGCCTATGACCAAAACTGGATGTGAGAATCCCAGTGGCACGGTTGTGCTCTCAGTGCTTTAATTTGGCATGCAGTTAGGAGTGGAAAAAAACGGAGATCAATTTAAGAATAGAACGCGTTTTCTTTCTGGAAATACTTAATAATTCTGGTTGATTCAATGCAATAAGAAACCACAACATATAGAAAATTATGTTATTACGTGTTTTGCACACGTCACAAAATGAGAGATGACCACATCAACAAAATAATATTTATCTAATGGCCAGACGGTGGACAATAAATATCTCACAATGTGTACTTGTCATCAAAGACATAATTTGTTAAACGCGACGTGCATTTGAAAAGTGAGGCGTGTTTAATGGAGCTGGGTATATATATA